TTTTTTTTTTTGCGAGCGGCCAACGTAAGGTGGGGAGCAGCACAGGCGGCTGGGCGAGGATGGGAGGTTTTGCCGGCCGTCGTAGCCGCGGCGAGCGCAGTTGTTGTTTGTCTTTTTCTTGCAGCGTTTGTTTTTACTCTCGGGGGCCTGCAGCAAGCAAGTGTCGTGATTGCTGTAGCTCTTTCTCTACTTTCATTTTTTTGTTGTGCTGTGTGCTTAGCGGAAGGTGTTGTTCTGTACGGGCAGCACCTCACCGCCACACACCCTTCGTCACAGCAACGCTCGACCTCTCTTTGTGTTTTTTTTTTGCGAGCGGCCAACGTATGGTGGGGAGCAGGTAGCACCAGCTGAAAGTGGGGGGCGGTAGGGGTGGGCATAGATTCAACCCGTGGATTCAACCCGTGGGTAATTATGGGTGGCAGCAGCAGCCGTCCTTGATTCTGTTACTTGCTTTTCCTGAGTCTGTCTGCAACCAAGAGTGGTGAGTGCTGCAAGCTGCCCTTTTTTTGTAGGGGGAGGTTTGAGCGTTTCGAGGAGGGGTGTTACGGAGTTCCGGATGCATGCGACTCCCCTCCCCCTCCCGATATCCTCACTCCACCATTCTTTTTTTTTTTTGCCGATAATCGATACTTACTTCCAGGGGTTGAGTGTTGCCCAGAAGCGGAGTCTGCACATCTCTTCCAGGAGCTGCACAAATGAATCCGGACAACATCGTTTTTGTTTTTTTTCGATCCCAACGGAAACGCTGGGCCAATTACAGCAGCTATGACACGTCACAACAACGTCTACACTAGCTGGTGTGTCTTGCCCGCGAATGGCGGGGGGGGAGACGTGGTGCTGATGGAGGCAGGGACCGATCACCGATGGGCAATTGTGCCATCCTACTTGGTCTACACTTTTTCCCCTATCCTATCTATCGTATCGGTGTCGCCCATCGCAAACACCGGGGGAGTGGAGTTCACAAACACGCGTGGTACTTCTGGAAGGACCAACGAACCGACAACGGGCTATCATGTACGCGAGTCCTCGACGGGTGATTTACTACCTCCTATTCCCTACCCCCTCTCCGAGCGGCCGACCCGAAACACCCCATCGTACAAATTGGGTCCAAGGAAATAAAGGAACAAACTATCAAATCCACCAAAGCAACTTAGCGCGAGCGAGAAAGTGCAGAACAAGAGACAGCTTGGTTTCTTTTGTTTCACACACCCACCCTCTACAGTAGGTCTAACCTCTCCCTAAACACGACACAAAAATATGTTCCCCATGACCTCAGCATGGCGGCCGCGTGTTGTGTGACTGTGAGTGCGACATCTTGTTGCAGCATTGTCAGACTAACAACTACGGAACATCTAAGAGAGCCACGCGATGTCGTTCTTGCTCTTGCGGTAGACGAAGCTCGCGATCAACTGCTTCCTCCGTGTGTTGAACCCAGACTCGACCTCGACGTCCTCCGTCGAGGCCGACGAGCCCTTCGCTCCAACCGAGCTCAAGTCCAGCGATGGGTTGTGCTCCCATGCGTTGTGGAGCCCGGCGTTCCCTGCCCAGTTGGGCTCCTCCTCCATCTCGCTCTTGTTGTCGTAGCTGTGAAGCATGTTGTGCAGGATACAGCACGTGAAAAAGACGTTGTCAATGTCTTCCTGCTTGTGGTACGGGATGCTCAGCTTGAGGATCCGAAAAAGACCCTTAACGATGCCGAAGAAGCACTCCACGTCCTTCCGCACGCTCTCCAGCCGCTTGGAGAAGGCCAGGTCGTTCTGGTCAATCGGGTACTTGGAGGGAGGGATCAAGGTGACCCACTAACATGAGTGGGGCGAGAGAGGCGGGGAGAGCGCAAAACATACGGGGTTGAGAAAGCGGTGTGAGTGAGGGCGTCAACCGGCAGGGTCTAGTAATGCAGAGGTTACAAAGGTGACGTTGTGACGCCGCAGTTTGCGAAAGGAGGAAACCTTGCCACGAACATTCATATATTCGGCATTTTTTCATCGAACCAGAATCGTTTTCTGCCCCGCGTGTGGCTCCGCTGCACGTGCACGACCTGCCTTTCAGCTTCGGCGTTCTCCCCACATGACCGCTTTCCAGCACAGACAAGGCTCGACTTCCAGCACATTGAAACTTTGGGGGTGGGGGGTGGGGGGGGGTCGTTTGTCTCATATATACCACTGTACTGCTAGGGGTGATCAACACTCTGAGGCGCAATGGGAGAGCGAGAGAGAGAAAGAGAGTGAGAGGGAGCATGCGTGGACCCCTACACCCCCCCAGCGCCCCGAGCCCCGTGGATCAACCATGTACCCAATCCGGGATAACGGTTCCTATCTGCGACAACACACGAACACCCTTATCATTATTTTTCTGGCAAGTGACAAACCACGGTGGGCACGTACACCCGGACATATTTTACAGCAGCAACTGAAAAGACGACCAAACAAAACCTACGCGCCTCCGTCTACGTTTTTCTCTCTCTATTGTACCCGTCTATTTCTCTTGTCTTGTAGTTGCATGCTGAACGATGCCATGAGTTCTCACCTTGTGGTATCCGTTGTCCACGAGCAGGTAGCACCCCTTGAGCTGGTAAGGTGTCCCATCCGCCTCGTACACGGTGAACTCCTTTTCGGAGTAGATGGGGTCCTCCCGAATCTTGGTGACTGCCGTGTCGTACCGGATGATGCTCTTGTCGTTAGTCGATCCCGTGAACCCCGGCGTTACTGCAAGTACCCGTTTCGTGTGGTCTACGGTAACTTGATACGCGACAGTCGGGTACCCTTCCTTGCCCGTATAAGACCGGGCTTGGTTGTAAGGGCACATACCCCACGGGATGTGGGTAACATCCGTAGAACCGTTGGCGCCAGAAAATCCCAGGCGATCGTACTGGGTCATGTAACATCCGTAGAACCGGTGGCGCCAGAAAATCCCAGGCGATCGTACTGGGTCATGACCTTCTTTTGGTAATCTCCGGTCGGTAGAAAGATGTGCTCCGCGTACATCTCCCTCGCGAAGTACCGGGTGAAGCGGTGAAACGTTGCTGCCGCCGTCTGCATGCTAATGAAAGACATGTGGTAGATGTCTGCGAAGCAGTTCCCCCTCGCTAGTATCTGGAGACAGGCCAGCACCTGTAGGAAAACAGGCGCCCAACGTAGGTTTCGGGGCAAGCAGTTGGAGTATTTTGTTTCAACGCTACAGGATCTACTGCCTTGCCATGTAAAAACCTCTTCGCGCGACAGGCTTTCTTTCCAACCTGCAATATTGTTGTACATACACGAGGGGTTGTGGCTCAGCTTTTAAACTGCTTGGCACGCGGACAAAAACAGCCGCAGCACATGACGTTCCTGGCAGCCATATGCACGAGTGACGGCAGTAGTAGCCTACACTACAGCAGTGCTAACATCATTGTTCGTACAGGCTGCTGTATAATTTTCGTGCTTTGCAAAATTACGGGACGCAGAGCGCGGGGCAACAACAACACAACGACATCACGAACTACAGCCAAAACCTTCACGGGGCTAAGTCAATAGGAGTGTAGCACGTGGTAGATGAGGCGGTCGTTGCTGTGTCGATGTCGGGAGTCATGACATCTGTTTGCTTGTCCGAACGAGAAGATTTGCGCGTGGATGCTGTAGCTTGCTGCCGAGTGCAGGGCGTAGTCGCCTGCTGCTACCTTGGCCCAAAGGGGTGTGGTATCTTGTGTCGCCTACGGTAGCTTGTGCGCACAGCAGCACTAAATGTTCACCTTTAATTGCACGGGGATACCCCGACGTCCGGACGCATCTTGCTTCCCAGTCGGGAACCAATCCCTCTGCTTCACCAGGGCCACCAGCTCCACGAAGAAAGGGTAAGGGAGACGAAAGCTCTCGCGGAAGCGGCGAGCAGGCCTGCTCGTGGGGTCGACAATTCCATCCACCTCGAGATCCTTGAGCTCCTGCAGCTGAATCGCCCAGCCAGAGATATTGTAATCCTTACGAGGGTATACGCGTCGCCTCTTGATCTCACGGTTGTCCTCCTCCTCTTCTTCGGAGTCGGGATCGAGCTCATCTAGATCGTCGAGTACAAGATCCCATGCCACGAGCGTGCGCTGCTGCTGTTGATTGAAAGCCGCCAACGCGACGCTGAACGCAGCAGGCACGTTGACGGCACCCGTTTCTGACGATGACATGGTGCCCACACGGACCCAGGCTACCACCAACAACAGGCCCAGTAGCAGCATGCGAGGGAGTTTGCGCGGTGCACGCGAGACACAGGACAGCAGCTGTGTACTCGCTGCTGTGCTGCTGTGGATGGTGAACGCGGTCTAGTTGCTGCGCTGTTGTTGTGCATATGTGCGGTGCCCCCGGTGTGCATTTCCAAACGCAAAAAACCGATCGCGTCCACGTTCGGAAATGCTCATCATTTCCAAACGCATGGCCGGTTGGAAACGTGAAATCGAAAATGTTCAGGCGGAAAAGTGTCATTTCCGATCTTATAAGAAACAGTTTTTGGTCCGAATTTGGAAATCCACATTTTTGAACTGCATTTCCGAACGTTATAAGAAACCGCCTAAGAGCATACAGCTTACGGCAGGGAAAAGGGAACACGGGAAAACACGTGCGAGCTTCATGGGGACCCGAACTGACGCTGCTGTTGTGTGTTTGTTTGCCAAAAAGCTGTGCCACACTTGCCGTGCTGGGCTGTTGACGCAGGCAGGTGATTGTGTGCATAGCGGCCAACCGCTTTTTTCGCGTGTCAAGAGCACCAGCTTTGCTATTACATGTAGTTGGATCGGACCGAACTGAAAGAGGTAAATGCCAGGGCACAACAACGAACAGCAGGTAGCTGCTACAATATACTGACTGCAAAACTTCTCGTTGAAATTGTAACGAAATTCCTCAAAAAATGATGTGCAACTCCAAATCAACACACCCACACACAAAACCTACGTGCGCAACAGTGGACAATGTTGCGTGTTGCGAGCGCGCATGCTCAACAAAAACCATCCTCAAGTAACCAATGTGCAGATATTACACCTTCGGGTTTGGTGACGGTGCTTTGTTCGAGCCTGATCGGAACATTTACAAAACGCGCGCTACCCTGAGCACAAGGGATGCCCCTTCAACCCGTCATACTGCGGTCAACAAGCCATCCCTCAAACGGGTCACACTACAGACTTTCTAGCTCAAGGCCTGGCAAAAGGGGCATACGACGACAGGTGACCGACCACATGGCAACAGCTTCGGCAGCCCTTACAGGCGCTTCTGATCCCTACAGTACGCTATTAATCAACATACAAGTCCTAGCTTTTCCACCCCGGTCGCGAGCGTTTTTCATATCGCTCAAGCCTCGTAATAATATCTCCAAGATCATATCACTCCTGAGGTCGGACTGCTCGGATTCTCGAGAACACCGCCCGCCGACCAACACTTTCCTACACAAAAAAATACTGCTGTAGCTTTACCCACACAAAAGGAGCCCTGACCTTCACCCCACTCCCTCTGCCCGTGACAAGGCCGCTGGAAACGGGACATGCTCTACGTCGCTACTTTTGAAAGGCACCGCTGCTCCTCAACGGAATCGACTGACCCCGTGTTCGGTGAAAACCCACCACGCAACAGCTGCGCCGCAGCGGCATAGTCAAGCTGAGGCGCCGCGTCTCTGTACATGGGCAAGACTCTAGGCAGCTGCTATGCGAGGTGATGGTCGGACCGGGGGGTACATCGTCTGGCTTTGCGTCCACTTACGGGGAAACACATCACCCCCTGCCCCCATACACCGCCAAACACGCGCTCGGCGGGTTTTTCTAAAGCGCCAGCTACACAGCTAGCTTAAAAATATGGTAAAAGCATCGTACACGAAAGCGAAGATGAGAGTTTGAACGAAAAAAAGACTGGCCAACACCACGTCACGCGCGTACACATTCCCACCGCGGCGGGCGGCGCGTGAAATGCACCAAAATACAAAGCGCCTCTCGGTACGCTTGACAAACTAACCAGAACGTAGGTAGCACAGCAGGGTCTGCGGCAGCACACGAGTTGTGAACACTTGCCGACTGACGCCAACAACGCACGGGGGCAATAAACCGTGGCGGCGGGGGGGAGGATTATGACATCACGCAACACCCACCACCGGCTGCTGCCCTCGTGCCCGAAACCGCAGACCTGCCCTCTACTCCACCCGGTGGCCACCCTGCCTCTCCCTCCGCCCCGGCAAAGCTCGTTGCCGCGCTCTCGCTGGCATCGAGACCTTCATTGCCGTCGGAGTTCTTCACGCCGCCGACCCCTTCACCAGCAATGACTGCCTCCCCGCTGCTATCTCTGAGCCCGCTGCCGCCGCTTCTGTTGCTGGTCCCTTCCTGCCCCGCAACGACGGTTGAAACCGCCTGAACGGCCGCCGCCTTCCCCCCCTGACCCTCTTCACCTCTCCGCAGCAGCAACGTCGGTGTCTCTTCCTGCACTTGCGTCGCCGCTGGAGCTGGCTTCTCTTCCGCGGCTCGCTCAGTCGGTCTTACACCGCCCTCCTCGCCGGCATCGATGCTATCATCGTCATCGCTGGCCCCGTCGCCCTCGGCAACCACCACCTCCTTTATCCCTACTCCCGCCGCTTGCGAGGCCTCTGCTTCGTCGCTGCAGAGTTCGGCGCCCCGGCTGCTGCGGATTTCGTTGACGGTCGACCGCCGTACCCCGAGGCCGCCGACCGCGTCCTCGGCGACACCGCCGCTGGACGCGAAGCCTTGCATCACGGCCGCGCTAAAGCTGAACCTTCGGGCAGCCAGGCCACTCATCCCGACAGACGAAGGGGAAAGGAAATCGTCCGGGCCGACGAAGGGCTCCCCGAGCGGGGGGGCTCCGCCACCGAGCAATAGCCACCCGCTGCTGCTGCTAAATCCTCCTCCAGGCGCGCCGCCGCCGTCCGCTGCTGCCGTTGCCCCGGGGGAACTCTCCGGCGGTACTGCGGTAGGCAACCCAAGGATCCGATCTAGATGGCCAATGGCTGACGCCCCTCCCCACGAGGACCCCGACGCAAAGCGGCCGCTGCCCATGCGGCCGGTACCGGCGCCGCCCGGGTTCATGAAGGCCGCCGCCTCCTCGACCGACATGTGGTTTCTGGAGGAGCTCCGGCGCCCATTCTTGTCGCCGCCGTCGTATTCGTCACCGTGGTTGCTTTCATCGTCCTCGCTTGAGTCAGGCCACGGTATGGCCCCCGTTCCGCTGCGTGAAGCGAACACCTCTGCGGTCACGCTGCCGCTTAAGATCGTCGCACCGGTCGGTTCTACCGCCGCCACCGCCGCCGCCGCGTCCGACTCCGAACCGCCTGACCCATCAGAGAACACGGGGGGCAGGGGTGCGGCCACCGGAGGATCGGCATCAGCGCCGTCCACCGCAGCGCGTGTCGCCGAAGCCCCTCCTTCTCCTCCTTCTCCTAATGCTTGCGCTGCAACGTCATGAGAGCTTCTCTCCGACGCTGCTGCCGTCGCCGCCGCCGCCGCTGCTCCGGCGATTGGCGAGACCACACCCGCCTGAATTTCGCTTGGCTCGTCCACTACTTCGACAGGCGTCGCCGCCGCCGCAACGACGGAGTCGGGCATGGCTGGCGGCTCCACTGAACCCGGCGCCGGCCCCACCGTCGATACCGCGTCGCCCCCGAAAACCGTCCGCATTCCAACCTTATCGGCGCCGGCCTGATTTGCTTTGGTCATGACCAGGTCGTCGTCGGCGCTCCCGGCTTCCAAACGGGGCGCCGCCGATTCACCGGCGTTTGTTTCTGCACCCCCCTTCGCCTTTGGCCCTGCGACAGCTCCCAGCGCTGCCTCCGCTTCCGCCACGGCAGCCGCTGCTACTTCGGCTGAAAAAAGCGAAAAGGAGAAGGGGGGGGCAAGGGATGGGGTTCAGTTACTGCTGCTGAGGGCATGCAGTTCTCATCTGGTCCCCAGGTTCTAGGACAGTGTTAAAGTCCACATGAACACCGCTTGGGGCGTGAGGTGATCGTGAGGTGGCACATCAACCATCACTCAAATCAGAAATAAAACGACGCACGCGCTCAAATGCCGTCGTAGTGAATGTGTCGGGGCGACATGTTTCAGCTCCTACTAGATGGGCCAAATCCCGCGGAACACGAAACAAGGGTGCAAAGGTTAGCATATGCCGAGCGAAAAATACACGCCGCTCGGCATTCTGAAGTGACGCGCGAAATACTCCAAAGGTCAAGGTAGTACGACAAATGCGGGCGGGCAACGGTGCTGGTTGGAAGAAGGGCAAAAAGACGGTTTACAGAAAGGGGAAGAATGCTAGGGAACGGGTGCCAGTGTACCGACGCCGGGCCGTTCGAGATGTTTCTGCGACGCTGCATGGCAACTCCTCTAGTGTGTGCCATAGCAAAAACTATCGCTTTGAAACGGCTTGGGGGGGCCGTTGGCAACGTTGAGAATGTTCTTGTGATGCTTCAGCAGAGGCTCGCAGCCAACAGGTCGGGGCGAGTTTTCGCGCTCAGAAGGATTCAAGAAGCACCAAACCTTGTTGCGGGCACGCAAATTCATCCCCCGACACAAGCCGCACACTAGAACCGCCAACACCAACAATTTCAGCGAGGGACAACAACAGCATCAGCAGCGGCAACCGACACAACTGCGACACACCCACCACCAAGCGAGCGTTTAAAAAAAAACACCCACCTGCCGATGCCGCCTGTGCGGACGCCAAGAGAGCCGCCGCCCTCGCCGATGCCGCCGCGGCCTTCGCCGCTGTCGCCCTGTCTCTGCCGGGGCCACCACCGCCGGTTGCACTATTCAGCGGTGGCGACGGCGGCGGCGACGGTGTCAGCGATGCCGCCTCCTCGGCCACCGCCGCTAACGCAACATCTCGTGCTAGAACCTCTACGCCTTGCTCGGGGCATGCTGCCGTATTGTTGTCGTTGATGTCCGCCGACGTGGTGGGGCTCGCCGGAAGAGTAAACGTCGCCTCCTCGTTGCTCAACGATGCGACTGCCGGGGGGGGCTCTGAGCTACCCTCCGGGCTGCCCGGCTCTGCTGCGCGGAGCGCTGCGCTGTCGTCCTTGGCGGCCACGCCGAAGGGTTCTGAAGGTGATTCTGGCGGCATAGGTGATGCTGCTGATACTGATGCTGCTGCTGCTGCTGCTGCTAATGCTGCTGCCGCTGCAGGTGGTACTGCTGCTGCAGATGCTGGTGTTGGTGTTGCAGCCAAAGTCTCCGTGGCCGCTTTGTCTATCCTCTCTACAGCCGGGGTGATGCCTCCCGACACGGGTTTTCCTACCGCCGCCAAAGCGGCGTTCTCCTCGGCGTTTCCGCCCAGCCCTGCTTCCACCACCAGCGTCGTCGTCAAAGGTACCGCCCTCGCTGTCTCCCCCTCGGTGGGAACACCATCTGCAGCCGCTCCTGACCGCACCTCCTCCATAGCACTCGGGTCATGCTCGGGGCCCGTGTCGAAGGGCGGCGGCGGCGCTTGCGTTGCGCTGCGTGCCGTCTCCGGTCGCTCTACCGTCTCCTTTTGCTGTCGTTCTCTCGCCTCCCCGGCCATTTCCCGCGATGTTTCCATGGCTGGCAGTACCGCGACTCGCGGCGGAGTTTCTACTCCCTCTCCGGAGCTCGCGGCCACGCCCACAACCCTCGCTTCTTCTGGCAGGACTGCCGTGGTTGGATTCGGCGCCTCCCCCCCCCCGTCTTCGTTGCCGTCTGCGAGCGCCGCCGACGCAGTCGGAGACGATGGCGGGGTTGAATCTACCACGCCTGGCCCGTCCCTTGCTCCAGGAGCCATGCGTCCGCCACCTCCATGGGCCACAGCGCCATCTTCTTCGCCTTCCGGAGGGTCAAGAGGACCGCTTCTTTCTGCCCGCAGCGCACTGCTGTCGTGCTCATCGGCTATCCACGCGTCCATCTCGTCGACCATGGAGCTATCCAGGTCTTGCTGCGACACATCGGCAGTAGCCGTGGCCGCCTCTGAGTCGCCAGCAAGGGCTGCAGCGGGAGGAGAACCGTCCCGGTCTTGGACAACAGCCACAGCGACATCTTCCGAGCCGGCCACGAGCCCGGGGAAAGGAATCACGCTCTCTACGGCAACAGACGAAGCACCACAGGGCACAGCACCACCACCACTAACTTTACTATCACAGGCAGACGCAACCAACAGGGCCGCGTCAGTATTTTCGCCCGCGTCGCCTAGGCTTCGCGTGACCTCTCCGGATGCCAAGTCGGCCGTCGTTGCCCCGCCGTTATTGCCCCCGCCCTCGGTGGACCCCGCAGCCGGTAGCGTCGGATCGCCGCCCCCGCTACCGCCCGCACCGCTCGCCGCGTTCTTTTCCCCGCCCTCTCCGCGTTTAGATCCGCCCTTTTTCTTCGAGCGCTTGGCCATGGGTGCAGCGTTCACCAGCGCACTGAACCGAAATCAGGCAACGGGCTTTCTTGCGACCTTGTGGCGGCGTCGCCCTGCTGTTGTTGTCGTTGTTGCTGCTGCTGCTGCTGCGAGTGCCCCAAACGACGCGGCCGTGCTCTTTCGAGACGACGACGCGAGAAAGTGACAGGCGGTGATGCAGTGCAGGCGGCGCGCCCGCCTGATGGTCCACGCAAGCCACGCACGAGCCGGGGACGGAAGGGGTGAGTTAGGTGGGGTTGGACTGTGTGCAAGTTGGAGAGAGTGCACCTTCTTTCATCTTAGCGGTGAAAGGGCTTTTCATCGCCAGCTAACAAATGCAGGCCGTTTTCGTAGGTCTAGGAGGAAGTGGTGCTCAATAGATATACCCACATGGGAGACAAAAGCAGTGCCAGAGCACGCGCGTTCTTCTAGCATCCGGGCACACCAGGGGTTTTAATCGTTGAATCGTGCCGCCGCTACATGGGTTTCTCCGCTATTCTTGGAGATGTAACCGCGGTTGGTGACGAGTGAATGTCAAAACGTCCTTTAGACATACTACATAGAGCGGTTACCAGCAAGGTCTGCTGTTGACGGTCGATATAACGCGCTCGACAAGCGCTCGATGAAAGCGTCGTCTGCTTCGGCACTGTTTCTCGTGCGGAGCAGCCGAGCTTTGGAAAAAAACGGGGGCCTGGTGTTATTCACGGTCAACTACTGCTATGTCTCAACCGATGTGTTCAGGATATTGTGCAATTTTGTTGTCCTGCTTGGCGACCTTCGATCGTGCATAGTTACATTTTTCTTTACCTCGCGCAAGGGAGTGGGTGTGTGGACTCGACATGCTTCGCTATTTGTCCTTCGTCCGACACATCGCTTGCTGCGACGTCACCATATGTCTCAAATTTGAAACATGCGTCTATGCCATCGCGTTTGGTAGTTGACTACACTTATGCCTACCACGGTCCATTGTATTTTCGAATACCTTTTTTGGGTAAGTTAGCCTTTGACCACGGGAATCGACCGCGTAAGTCAAGCGTCAGCCTAGGACGGACAGAAGAAGGTACTGGGTAGAGAGACCGAACGGTTTTTGATGTGAAAACAACATACCACGCATACAACATGCTCGTGATACGGATGTACCTCTTGTGAGTGGTACTTTTTTTTTTTTCTCCCATCACCGGATTCTGTCGTCTGCCCCTCTAGCCCCTATCCTCCACTTCTACTAGCTAGACGACCCAACCGGGGTCACATAGGAGGGGGGGGCTGGACCCCCTCCTGCGGTTCCTGCCTGAGGTATTTTTATCGCGAGAAGGGGATAGCAATCCCTTCCCTCGCGACTTACGAAGTCGATTATGGTTTACTAACAACGAGCTCTGCAACGCGTCGCTTTCATGCTAGACCAGGATTTATTAAGTGAGAAAACTCACTCTGCCGGGACTCGAACCCATGACCTGGCCCTTAGCATGCTGCGAGGGTACCCACTAGACCACCGGGGCGACCGGGTACTGTAAGGCTTGACTATGGAACGCGTTGGCATCAGACGGAATGGCACGGATTACAGCATATCATGCTCTGAGCAAACGAGGTCGGAACTACTATAAACTGCGGTTATACAATGTTGTAGTACAAAAATGTGAAGATGTGGAGACAAAGACAAACACGCTCTCGTAGTCGGTCTTACACGAGCAGACTTGTGCACGCAGTCAGTCGAACAGCCTCTTTTCCGAACTAAATGAGCCACACGCCACACTCCCTCAGAAATTTGTCATTTGTCATTTGCAGCAAATTTCCGATCTCTTTTCAACACCCAAGTTTCGCGTGTCCTATGCATGTGTATCCATGGCACATGGGTCTAACTGCCAAAAGTCGTTTTCGTTTCCGGCTGGTATCATCTCAGGGCCAACAACAACACTCCTATTCCTTGGGAGTCTGCGGTATTCAGCAGGTGTCCTCCCGCAACCCTCTCCGCTAATGGATCAACCCGTCGCCGCCAAACCGACTTTTGCCTCGAGCGGATGAGTCTCTCTTTCGGTGTTCCGTAGTGCTGTGCCTGGTACATAGTAAAATTGGAAGTGCGTCTCAATAGTATTTCAACACCGGTGCTTTGCAATTCCCCAGACTTGGCCTCGCCAACACATCATTGGCCGACTTTTTCCGCAAACTTATCCGCATTCACGTCCGTTGAGCATGCCGGTAAACTCGGCTGATCGACAAACAAACTGGCAGGGAACAAGCGCTACAGGAAGCAAGGACATTCACCCAGGGGAAAGTTCCAACAGCACCGGCCCTAATCAGGTCGTGGTGTACTTTGTGCCGCCACAACAACAGGGGGGGCGGGGGCGCTGCCTGCTGTGTCATGTTCAACCGACCTCTGAAAAGGAGGGTGCAGCAGCCGTACGTGTGTCGCACTGTCGCACCGGTTTCCGCCGCTTACCCCCGGTGAAAGAGTCCACCCCACCGCAGCCGGCTCCGGCCCGATGTGCTCCCTTCACGCCGCAGTCGACAAAATGGGGGGCGCACGGTCCAGCCGAGCCATGCACGGGAGAGCCGTCCGTCTTCTCGCTGATAGCGCTCGCCGTTGTGTGGCGCTCAGCTCCGGCCTGGTCTTAGCACACGCGGAGACACACAGGAACCGCAGTATATTAGCAGCAGAGACCCACCCAGCGCGCAAGGATTCGTGTGAGGCATCAGTGTCCGAAGTAGGGGACTTCTAGCCTCGTGTTCGAGCGCCACGCAGGCTTCAAAACTCAGCTGGGCTGTTGCTGGGGGGGGGGCATGGCACCCAAGAAGCGAAAAACTTATGTACCAAAAACCAAGGAGGATGTTCCCTCGTAACGAAGGGGCCAGCAGCCACATTCGAAGGGGCCAGCCAGCATGAAAAGTCTTTGACCCCCACACACACACCTCATCCCCACATGCTGGATTCAATCTAGTGAGCTCTGGGCATGTTTGTTCCGCTCCAATCTCTCGTATCTCTTAAAATCTCACCGAGAAGCAACGCAGCAGACGCCCTGTGTCGCGGAAACCTGCGTGCCTGTGAGAACCGAGCCGTCTCACGTCTCCGGGAAGCAGAAGCCAGAAGCGGCGACAGAATGTTTTTCTCTCGAATAATAAAAAAAAGCCAAAAAAAAAAAAAAAGATGGCATGTGACTCCATCCCAGAGTAGTCGAGTCCTCCAATCTCCAATTCGTTTCGTAAGTTGCGAACCGGCATTTGCCCCTCCGCGTTCGTGCGCTCGTGCGTCGTCGACATCCGCCATCTGTCGTATGCTCATGCATGTTTACAGAAATCATCACTCTCCCCTGTTGATTGGAAATCTCTCTGCTGGGGAAGCCGGAGTAGCGTGAAATCTCGGGCATCGTACAAAATCAACCACACGGTTCGTCGGAAATCTTCCGCACGCAATACAATCCTCTAGTGTGCGCGTGCGTGGCTAGCCGGCAGTTGAATCTGAGCACCGGACGGAATGCACCAGCATAGCTCTCCTTCCAGCATCACGCCCGGGGTAGACAGGGAGGTGAATGGATCTTATCTTCGCGTGCGCCAAGCAAAATCGTTCTAGCAAATCCAAGTACCACAGGGTGTGGCGAGCACTGGTGACATGCGCGGAAGAGGTCCTTGCGTCGGGGAGAGGAGCGACAATCGAGAAGGTACGTGACAAACGTGTTGTGGTAGGAATCGTCTCTATGTTGTTGCCTCGTCGGCTTATCGCGCCGCAGGCGCTAATCGGCGGCGGTGCTGAACTGTCGGTGCATTGAATCGAGTTTGTCTATCTACATGTGATGTCGCCGTAATATTGCACACCAGAAACAGGCATTTGGCTACGTGTTCGCGGTTTGACGACGGGCAGAAATGCCCTTCGATGGCACGTTGACTACTCGTGTGGGCTGTGTCGTGACTGCCTGTACTATTTTCATCCTGAGTGGTGATGGACTTTGAGGGAGACAACGCTGTGAACTGACAGTGTGCTATGCACGTATGTGGGAGTTCCTGCGCCTCAGCGCCAGCGATGCTTTTCCTTGAGGCTAGCTACACTACCACTGCGGTAATATGTTTGCGTTTGGCTTCACGACGTCGCGCTTGAGTATCGAAGGCACCTCTGCATAAGCGTAAGCAAGCTGTGCCTGTGTGAAACAGTCTACCAAAGGTTATTCATTCCATGCCACGACTGCATCTTGAATCCATCAGGCTGTGGACCTCCAAAACAACATACTGTCCGGTTTTCTTGGATGGCGTCCTCACGACATGGGTCAAACGCGGTCGGTCGCGGGAACATGCACTGCTACATAGATTGCAGAACTTCACACCGTTCTTCCTTGCTTGTTATGCAATGCTTATGCCCACACATGATGGTGGTGCTGTAGAATGGGCGCTGTCATTGTACGACGCAGAGTAAATTGCCGAGAGCACTGCGTAGAGGGCCTCTTCGTGTGATATTCGATACACTGGGCAAAATTAGCCCCGAAGGAAACCCGACACAACCCGACGGGAGGCATTACGGGGCGTGGAGGGAAGTTTTGGTAATGTTCAATAGTAGGATATGTCCCCGAAGGCGTCCGCTCGACACTGTGGAGGTGAGCTTAGAAAATGTCTCATCTGTCCAACGGCCGTCGAGGACGTTCCGTACCTTCTTGGTAGAGCAAATCCAAGTTCAAATCCCACCACGCCCACACCAATGGTGGAATCACAAAGAAAATGGTGGAGGACAAAACACATTTACCAATAATGTATTTATGGCACTTGAGCTGATGTGGTCGACGCAGAGCACCGGTGAAAACACCACAGAAAATTCTGAAGACGAGCATCGACTCGCCGTCAACTGGTTGGCTTCCCGATACCCGTAGGAGCCTTCTCCTTGTCAAAGATAGAGAGAGAATCGCCGTGTGTGCGTGATATGGCCTTTAAGATAGACCCCATCTCCATCAACGCCCGTGTAGGGCGAACCCCTCTTTTCACAGCACTGCAGAGAAACGCTTCTCCTACAACACAGCCATCAAATC